TGGATCTGGGCTGCCATGAGTCGCCGGCGATGGTGTAGGCTGCAACCCCTGCTGCAGTGGGTTGCCATGGGCTACCGTGTGTAGCCAGCAGCCAGTGTGAGCAGCCATAAGCCGCTGTGAGCGGCCGTCCAGAAGCCGGCGACTGATCTGCTCGCCCAGGAAGAGCGCAATGATGGTGCCAACTTGGGCCAGTGAAACAACGTCCTCCACAACAACTAGACTGAACAAAAAGGACAGCAACTTGTCTGTTTCCCATCCCCCAATTCCCCAATAAAAATCTTAAAAAAAAAAATTGTATCCCATAGGATTTAAACTATGAAGTGTGATCAAAAAATACAATGCATGTTTAAATTTTAAAAAAATTATTACAGTAAAAGATACATTGTCATTAATCCCCCTCTAAAAAATTTCCCTCGCTTCGAACACAGTTATTCCATCAATCTTGCCACTTTCTGAAGCAGTTCTGGAAGTCCTCTTTCATGAGTGTCTTTAGTTGTGCTGTTGTGGCTGTCTCGATGTCCTGAATGAATTCAAAATGTTTACCTTTCATGGTCATTTTGACTGTGGGGAAGAGCCAGAAGTCACACGGTGCCAGGTCCAGTGAATAAGGTGGATGGGGACACACCGTAATGTTTTTATTGGACAGAAATTGCTGTACCAGAAGCAATATGTGACACGGAGCCTTTCCACTGTGATCACAAAATATGGTGAATGCTGCTGCCCAGTGCCATCCAACGGAAAGGCAGGGATCTTCAATATGGGAAGCAGCATGTTGAACCTTACTAACAGGGTGTGACAAGTTTCAACTTGTTTGGTGCAGTCAGTTGGGTGTGAGCTACAGCGGACAGAAAATGTGTTTTGAAGTGTGCCATAAATCATCCTCCATCATGACAACGCTCCATGTCACACATCGCTTCTGGTACAGCAATTTCTGTCAAATAAAAACATTACGGTGTGTCCTCATCCACCTTATTCACTGGACCTGGCACTGTGTGACTTCTGGCTCTTCCCCAAAGTCAAAATGATTCAGGACACTGAAGCAGCCATGACAACGCAACTAAAGACACTCACGAAAGAGGACTTCCAGAACTGCTTCAGAAAGTGGCAAGAATGATAGCATAAGGGTATTCAAAGCAAGAGTGAGTTTTTTTATGGGGATTAATGGCAATGTATCTTTTACTGTAATAATTTTTCATTTAAACATCCACCGTATTGTCTGATCACACCTTATAGTTTAGGAAGGAATTCATCCACTAGAGGGGGCCCTTACCAAATAGGAGAAATAAAATGTTAACAGCAATCCAAGTATATGCGTACACAATTGAAGATTAGAATACATTTTACAAAACAAAATCCTTCAAGTCTATGAAATCCATACAATCACATATAAAATTTTGATTTTTTTCTGAGAAACACAAAATTTAATCACTGCAGACTTATTTGTTCATGTGACCATAAGCTGAACAAGTGTATATGAAAGAGCTGTGGTCACCCACAGCAAGTCAACTAGAGAAGTAATGTTTATCCTTTCCACTCCACCCCACACAAACACCTCTTTTTTTAAAGTAAGTTCTAGGACCACTTTTTCTGAAATTCAGTCACCTATATACACAATGTCAACCGTCATCCTGAAACAGCCACCTAATTCTGGGCGTAGTGATTCTAGGAAAGCCCATGTCATCACTATTCTTGGAATCCCTCTTAACTCTTGTCACTTAGCTACAGGAATTTTCTACATGTCTTAGTATATCTTGAGTCCAGTAAATATAAATTTATAAAGAAACAATATCCATTACTAGCTACCTTATCAATCAGGAAAGCATTAGATTTTGAAAATAACGTTTATTAAGTACTCAATAAATGTAACATTATTGCACGTAACAATCCAATAAGGTAGGTACTCTTCATGTCTCCACTCTACAGATGAGGGCATTAAGGCTTAAAGGTCTCAATGCTAGTAAAGAGCAGACCACAAACTACAGGGCTAAGTACTGTGCTATACCACAAATAAGAAAATGGTAATTTTTATTGAGGTATAATACATTCACATACAGTTGTTAAAAAAAAAATACATGGAGATCCCGTATACACTTTGCCTGGTTTCCTATAATGATAACATTTTGTGAAACTATAATATAATGTCACAAATAGGATACTGATAATGGTACAATCTATCAATCTTGTTCAGATTTTTATCTAAGGCATTTTTAACCAGCCAATATATCTTTGCTTTTATTCCATCAACACTTATAAATGCTCTATATAAAAATTCTATTTGTTCCCCAGTTGTTTTTACCTCTCTTAGATGTTCTTCACTTATAATTTAATCTCTTTTCAAAAAATTTTAGGGTTTCTTGCTATTTTTTACTTATGTATATCAACATCCTTATTCTCTTTATATATATTTAAACTCACTTAGTTCTATTCTGATTGCTCCAAAGCCTTGGGGTCAAGAATCTTGGCATTTAATCCCAGCTCTGTCATGTACTTGTTTAGGCAATTTAATCTCTCAACATTTCCCTCATCTGAAAAATGGGAATAATAGTACCTACCTTCAAAGAATTGTTGAAGATCAAAGTCTGCCTGCAAAGTGGTTAGCACAGTACATGGCACAGAGTTAAGTGCTCACTAAACTTTAACCATAATTTACTATTCTGTCACCAAGACTTTTCAAACAGCAAATCCATCCATTCCAACCTCCTTAACATCCTATCTTTACTATTGGGTTGTCGGAGAAGTTATGACGCATTTTTGCAACAAAATACATAGAAAAAATATGTCGTGACTTTTCCGACAACCCAATATTATACGACCATTTGTTCATTCAAGAAAAATGTACTGTTTACACATAAATAACATAAACAGATGAATCAAATACATAACTTTTCTTAACAAGTACACATTACTAAAAGTTAAGATAGCAGCATCACCAAAAAAAAAAAAAAAGTACTGTTAAAGTTCTCCAACACTTTTGATGGAGGAAGTAACACATGACCTGGCTCTTTTTAAGAGTTTATTCATCAGACAAATAAATGGGAAGACATGGGGCAGGAAAGGAGTGGGATATATCATTTAGAGCAGCGGTTCTCAACCTGTGGGTCGCAATCCCTTTGGGGGTCAAGCGACCCTTACACAGGGGTCGCCGGGTACTCGTATTTGGGCGTATCTGCATATGGGCCTGGAGACGGATAGAGGAGCAGTGTCTCGGTTCCTAAAACCATCGAAAATGTGTGTCTTAGGCGACCTCTGTGAAAGGTCGAGAACCACTGATTTAGAGTAAGGACATAAGGTACCAAGGGCAAAGAAGGGGCTTCTATAGGAAACAGCTAACAGTTCAGGCTGGCTGCACTGAAGGGTATCTATAAAACGAATAATGGAAAGTGAGACTGAAGACTAATCACTTCAGTCTTTGAATCTAAGTCCAGGGTCTAAATTTCATTGTCTATAATGAAAAGTCAAAGATTTATGAGTAGTGCAATTATGAGTTCATAATTGTATAGTCAAAAAAATGAATGTGCTATAACATGTAAAATGGATTAGAGAAGGAATTTCCGCTGTGCTGGTATTTAGAAACCTGTTGGTGCAATTAATCAGATAGGTAGAAAAAGCATGGTGGGTGGCCAAGGGGCTAGTTGGTTAAGAGTTGGCTTGGGAGCGTGAGCTCTGAGCAGCAGGGCCGCCAGTTCGGATCCCATATGGGCCAGTGACACTGTGCCCTCTACAGTTAAGATGGTGAACAACAGCTCGACCTGGAGCTGGGCTGCCGTGAGTCACCAGTGACGGTGTAGGCTGCAGTGGGGCTGTAGTGGGCTGCCGTAAGCTTCCATGAGTGGCCGGCAGCCAGTGTGAGCATCCGGCAGCCGGTGTGAGCTGCCGTGAGCCGCCGAGAGCAGCCATCCAATGGCTGGCGACCAATCTGCCTCGGCGGGAGGAGCACAATGATCACAATACCAACATGGGCTAGGGAAGCGACATCCTCCACAACTAGACTGAAGAACAAACAGCAACTTGTCTGTTCCCCTTTCCCAATTTTCCAATAAAATCTTTAAAAAAAGAAAAAGCATGGAAAGACAGTCTGAAGGGGAAAAAAATATATTAACATAATTGAATCAATATGATCTGAAACTTAACAAATTGTGGGAAAAAGAAAGTTAAGATGATTGAGGTTTCAAACCTTCGTTCTGTAAAGTGCACTGAAAAAAAATGACTCCCAGACTTCTCTACAAATTACTTACCTATTTTTCTAAATTCCAAACCATATTTTAACTTCCTTACTGGACTGAATTATTTTTACCTGGGGAGTGAAATGAAAGCTTCCAAGAACATGGTACAGTAACTATTAAATAGATTAAAGAAATCTGGAAGACTATAAGTATGATGAGCAGGGGAAGGGAATAGGCTACTTGTCACATTTAATATATAATAACATGCTTATTAAAAGATTCAGGATACCTATAGTCATTTGTTCATAAAATAGAAACCGGGATTCTTGCATTCATTTGTTCACTAGTGTATCACCAGTGTCTCATACAGTGTCAGGAATACTGTTAGCACTCAATATATTTGTTGAATATATATGAGAATGAGAAAAGAAAAAAGTTATTAAATTTTAAGAAAGTTTCTCCATTGGCCTCAATGCTCTGAGCATTCAATAGTCTCTCCTATTCTTTTTGTTATTAAAAATGGCCATGGTTGCTAACTTACTTTCAAAAATATAAGCTGTAATATATTAATTTAGTAAAGGTTATAATAACCATTTTAAATAATACTGAATTATTAACCACTAAAGGTTAAAACAAAAATCTTAATTTAACATATTGTCAGACACAAAATAAATGATACCTGAGATTTTACACAGATTCTTAGGTATCTCCCAAGCTCCATTTTGCAGTTTTGGAATTTAAAGGCAAACACATTTGTTGCTGGCTGGTAAATTTGAATACATTTCCTTGCAGATTTTATCATCTTACCCGGTCTTTCCTTCCCAGTGCCTTTTGACTCAGCAAATTTTTCTATCAAGCTTTCAACTGTAGTGTTAGCCATGTTATTTATAAATTCTTCGTGAACCTATTAAAATGAGATAAAGACAAATTTTCTTTTTACATAAATATTTTTACTGTATGTCAGACAAAACTTCCACAAAGCAATTAAAATTCATTACACCAAAATATGCATTTTTTTTAAACCCAGAGCCTTTGAGAACTTTCATTTACTTAACATGCTTTGTTACCTAACTTAGAGCTAGTAGATCATCTAACCATTGTTTACATGAACCCCTGAAGATATGGCCACATGGCCTTAGAAGTAAAGACGGTTTCCTGTTTCCACTATGGAATGTTTTAGAGACATAATTCTTGTGATAAATAAAACTTACAGAGACAATGACACAGTTTTAGATATTTAATAATAAAGAATAACATACTTCATCTTTCTTTATTATATTTCAATGCATCCCAAACTGCCATCATTAAACCCCTTTTAAGTTTTTGGAAAGTTTCTAAGTTCTGTAACTTACTGAAGCTGTTGTTCTAACTTTTAAAATAGTAAAAGTTTAAAAAATATTGAAAAATTTTAACTTCAGAATTTTAATGTAAAGAGAACATAGTTAATTTTAAAAATTATTCTGAATTATCATCCTTGGTAGCCAATCAAAAATCCAGTTTATTTTCTATTTAATACATAGAAGTACATATTCTTTATCTGAAATAATTCAGTGTCATGTTAATCAGTTTTGTATTTTTAAAGAGTCATAAACAAACATAAAATTTTTGTGAATGTTCAACAGAGGTAAAAACTTACCTGGCCTATTTGCAAATGAATTTCCTTTATAGCATTTGACAAGGACCCTATAATTTCCTTTATGTGAATGAGATGAGTTTCTTCAATGTCTTGAAATTTCTAAGTATCGAATATAAAAAGTTACACATATAAAATATATATATTACATATATACACATAGATTCTGAAATAAAAAGACCCTTTAGATGTAATCTCAATACAGCTAACCAAATTTAGCAAGTTACCCATTATTATGTAATGTTTAGCAATACTTCTAGACAAATGGGTTTAGTAAACATATTAAAATGCTGCATTGAAAAAAGTTAAGCTTTTGTTATGCCATTTCTCAAGTATCATGAATTTTTTCAGAGTTTGGAGATACCACAAATTAAAATCTACAGTCATGATCAGAAAATGAGGAGACTCAGAAGATAATGTCACAAAAGCCAAGGGAGACGTGTTTCAAAGACTGAAAAACAATTAGTTGGCAAAGCAAAACTGCAGTTTACTTCTGAAGACTACAATCTAGCCCACAGACTCTCAAACTGTCTTTCTAATCTTTGAAATGTTTATACACAGTCTTCAAAAGTATTCAAAAGAAATTTGGGAAGGCTGTATACTCTCTTAGCAGTTCTCAACTGAAGGTGGGGATGCATCAGATTACCTGGGGGAATGTTTTCAAACTACAAAACACATAGATCCTCCACTACTACCTGGGGAGTGGGGGTGGAAAGAGGTGAGAATTTTGTTTGGAAAAAATTCCCAGGTTATTCTGATATTTCTTCCCCAGAAAGGGAACTGCTAGCGTTGGTTTCACAATAAATGTAAAAAACTCTGAGAAATACTGAAATAGCAAAACTTGTTTCACTCTGCTTAACCCAGTGTTTTTCAAATTTCTTTGACGAAACAACCCTTTCTGTTCTGTTCTTCTTCTTCTCTGAATAGCTATTAATATCTTACAGAACAGTAATATTCCTCAAAACAGGATTTGGGGAATGCTGAACTAGCCATTTTCGAACAAAACACATTTGTCATTTCCACTGCACAAACCTGATTACCTTCCCCCCCCACACACACACCTCCCAAATTAAATCGGTTCTAAGGAATAGGCCTAAATGCCTTGTTACTTTTCTCTAGTTCATCAAATTAAATCACCTTATCCCTTATTTACTGTCCAGTTTTCTTCAGCACTGAGTTCCATGATCAGAAATCACTAAGCCAAACAATCATGTCCATATTTGTTTAAAGGGTCTGAACTTTTTAAAAAAATCAATAATGGTGAAATTACAGTTTTAGCAATAATGCAACAATGATCCAAAAACTTTAATCAATTTTGTTCATGAGGAATGGCAGAGTTAAAATGCAGCACCTGTCTTGACTAACTTTAATTTTGACCAAGTCAATGAAAATACCAACATTTCAAGATCCTGAATTAGTCTTAAGAACTGAGGAATATTTAGCAGGAGCATGATTCTATTTTATGTTCACATTTTAAGAAGTCATCCTCAGTTTAAATTTCTATAATTTAATGAACAAGATATCTTCTCATAGGCAGGTAGGCCCAAATCCAGGAAAGCTTGGTAAAACAGCCACTAATTTCATATGGATGACCTCTAATTCCAAAAAAACTGCCTCTTCTTACTTTCTTTGGAAACAGCAACAATGAGTAAGGCAGATCCTTAATTACTTAGAAAGCCACACAGAAACTCAAAGCATGATTTAGATGCAATTCTGAATTTGTGCTAGGATTTTTTGGTGGTGGTGGTGGTGAGGAACACCGTTAAATATCATGAATCCTCAAAATTAGTGACTGCTAAACTCAGGGCAATTTAGCAATGGTAATATAATCTCAAGTGTTTGAATACAAATAACTAAACTTTCTTGAACAAATCAGAGAAACTTCCTCCTTGTAATTTCAAGTTCACTGTGCTTGCATGTATTGTTACATTAGTATATAAAAAAAGTATAATTTTGTCAGCCATTAGAGATACATAAAAGCACTCGAATCCTAAATTCTTAATCTAAGTGTATTCCTTAAACAAATCTCAAAATCTCTTTGAACTAGCCATCAAACTCTTTAAAGGAAAAAAATCTCTATGTTGTTTCAGGTTTTTCAAGTATCATTAACTGATAGTGGTCAAAAGCATAAACACAAAGAGAAGTCATAATTTTAATCATGCTTATCCTGAACCCCAAATGAAAAAAATTAAATCACAAATATTCCAAGTAAATTCTAACCTCTTTCCCCCCCCAGGGAATCGTTATTTTTTCCCACTAGTAAATATAGGTCTGCCACCCAAATTTGATTCTCACTAGACTGACAGGCCCCTTCCTACTGGGATTAGGTCAACCTGCTTGGCCTGGAACAAGAGGAAAGCGGATATGTAAAATAATTCTTTTCACTTCTAAATAACCCAAATTAAAGTCTACGGTCTATTAAGAAACAATACTTAATCTGTTCTGCCAGTTGTGCATGTGTAACAGAGACAGAGAGGGCGTGGGGGTAGATGGGGGAGAGAGACAGACAGACAAAGATGGAACACAACAGGGAACAAACACACAGATTAATACAGTATACCAACATCTTTATTTAAAAGCAGCACGGTTATACATCTGCTCAAATAAATTAATGTTCCCACTGTGGAAATGGCAGGATAAACAATTAAAATGCCAATTTGAAAAAACAAAAGTATGAGGAAGCAGAAAAAGATGAGAGGAAAGTGAATGCTGAAAATTCTTTAAGAATACTTTTATAAAGTAATATAAACAAAAAATCCTGACTCTAACAAATTCTAATTCCTGTTTTTACAAATTAAATAATTGAAAGGCAAACATTTTCAAAGATAAAAACTGGACACTTTGATGCAAAATTAACAAATCAATATTACCTTATAAATGCATGTTCCTAATGATTTAGACCAAAAAAAAAAAATGAAGGAAAAAAGAACACTAGATGAAGTCTACGATGACCTCAGCTGCTGCAGAAATTCAAACTTATCTTACTAGAGTTGGAGCCTCAATATAACACAACTAACTAAACCCTTCTTGAAACATCTTTTCCAAGCTGCCATGGCATTATAATTTCCAGTTTTATTCCTGCTCTGGATTTTCCAACTTGGGTTTCAGCATCTCTTCCTCTCTCACACTGTCAATGATGAATCTCTCAGAGCTTGGCCCTTTCTTCCCCCCACTGTCCAAAGGTGATGTCATTATGGCTTTGCGTGCTGACAAGCCTCTATTTTATACAGGCTTACAATCCTTTATTCAAAACCTTTGGAGACAGGTTTTGGAATTCAAATATTGGGTTTAAAAAAAAAGATAATATGGTGTTATTACCATATATTTGATAATACTACCAGCAAAATGTGCAGTGGCATCTGTTTATCAAACACAGTAATATTTTTAAAGGAAAACCTCTATATTCAGACTAAGGATAAAAAAAGCCTATAAATAGCCTCACATCCGTTTACCGTATTTGCCAGCGTATAAGACGATCTTTTGGCCCTGAAAAATATGCCTCCAAGTGGGGGGTCGTCTTATACGCCAGGTACACTTCAGATAGACTGCCAATAGTGCTTGCCCCGTGCCATAGTGGCCTCCCGATGCCCGCCCACTTCATTCCACATACCGTTCAGGCATCAGCAGCGCTGCTGGGTGTATGCTC